GAGGATATGCTTTTAGAAATGCAGGTTGCACGCAGATGTATGTCAAAGTCGAGGCCAGAAATGGGCGTTGCTTTTGTCTTCTGCGTGCCGTCAAAAGGCACAAACCTTGGCAAGATCGGTGCAAGCGCCCAGGATACATCGAGGTGGGCCCGGTTGACTGCGAGCTGCAGGGACAGCAGTCCGCAAAATACGTGGCGCCAGGTCAGATTGGAGCTACTGAGTAGGGTTGTGCTTTTCTGGTCTAAACAACGCGACCCTAGGAACCATCAATGTGAAACCAAGAGGAGAATCAGGAGGCAGTTTGAAGCAAAAGTGGTTGAAGCATGCGGTTACCCCAACTCTTCCGGTGAAGTGGCCAAGGGCTTCATCAGGGGTCCGTTCCTGACTTACAGGAGCCCTGAAGCATAGCTAGAGGTGCAAGCTCGGAGTGTCGGAATTAGGCCCCTCTTCTCCTTAAATGTTCGGGCACTCAAAGCACAAAGTGGCCCCTCAATTCTGATACTCTTCTGCATGTTCTCTAACTTTAATGGGTTCCGCGGGTTTGCCATGGTGCTTGTAGAGTTCAATGCCCGTGGCTTCTGGATGTGACAATTTGTCCCTGGTTACCTGTCTAGCGCCGAGCGCTGGCTGCGTGGAGAAAAAAGGCGGCCTTGCCAAGACATTCGGGGTAAGTGCAAAGTGGGCCAACTAGATGTCGGTTAGATGTCGGTTTGCTGTTGGGTCGTTCTTGGACATGGCCCTTCCTTTCGGCAGGGTACTGTGTTGGTAGAGGGGGTTTCGTCGGAACCTCATGAGCCAACTGTCAAATTGAATTTGAGCCAGTTCCGGAGTTGTTTTCTTTTACCACCCTAAGATAGCCGCCAAAGTGTGCTACTGAAAACTTGTGGATCTGCCAAAGTAAAAAACAAGTACGTGAACACACTGCAAAACGAGAAGGTCCCCCAGACACGATAATGTTAAAAGTACTAAGGGCAAGCGACGTATGCCGTCCGCTTTACTTGTTCGCATTGTACAACTACATGCGGTTAAGGGGTCAAGTTTCAATCGCTGGTGCAGTGGGTCGCTTGCTGCCACCAAGTGAAGCTAATGAGAGCCTTCGCTGAAGAAAAGACATACGGTGGCCCAACAAAGGGCTTGCGGTACGCCAGGTCTGCAACGAAATTTTGCCTGGCTTGCTTGGCAGACACCGCATGCGCAGGGTTTTTCATCTAAGGATGGCGTCGGCGTGAAGACGGACGACATTCTGCGGCGGAGTTGGCTTATTCCAGCAGACCTGGCACCTTGTGATGCGCCAAGCTTAGCACAGTACTCTCACGACGTGCAATTACTTGCTTGGGTGTTTGTTTTTTGAGGATAACCTCCAGGTTGCTTTCACCTCATTTTGATACATACTGGCTTGTGTCACCAGCACTATGGTTGGTCATTATTCTCATGTCGTAGGGCTGCGTTAGATACTCGACAGGCATTTCTCGGGTCGGCCGCGGATGACACGTGGAATTAACTCACAGACTGTTAGCTTATGGAGAGGCATTGGCACCACCTTGCCCCCGACAAGCTTCTCAGAACCCTTCTACGAACCTGCTCCAACAAGGTTTCGAATCTTTCCTGTGGAGTGGCGGCGCCATTGGCTTTCTCACATTGGCATCTCTTATTGGCCAAAGCACGTTTGGCCCATTCTCTCATGTTCCCTGTGCCCATCCTAACAGGCCACCAAAGGCCCTCATTCATTTGGATCGCACATTCGGGGTTTTCCTTTGGCAGTTTTGGCACTTGAGGCTTGGTTGGTGGAGGCTTCCGATGAGCAACTCGGCTGAACAACATTTGCGATTGCTTTTCGAGCTCGGGCTGCTAGAACATAGGGCGCCTTTGGGCGTTCCATGGACCCCTTCTGAATAGAATCCCAATCCTGGGGTGGTGGTTGTGCTGGGAAGGATTGAAGTGTTCCAACTGGATGTTGGGTCATTACCCAGCTTAGTTTGCCACTGGTTTCGGGCAGAATGACCAGACTTTCTCTTCGCATGCACGCCTTACCACCAAACCGACCGCAGGTCTGTTCTTGCGCCGGAGCGCAAGACTGTCACCGAGAACGGTTAGATAAACACACAGACACCTTGAAATGTCTCAAATCTTCACCTAGATTCTACAGACAGCTCAAGATACCTTCTCATCCTGTGTAATATGCTTGCTGCCTGCGTGCGCATCCAATTTTGAGTCGTGTTGGATCCAAAGCAAAAGGTTATTTCTTCCTCCTACTTTACTGACACAGGCTCGGCGATTTTGATTCCACAGCCAAGTGCACAGATATCCAAGCAGGCAATCACTTTGGCTTGCTCCGAGCCTATAACAAAGAGCAAACCGCGAGAGTAGAAGGTTGGATTGGTGTCCTTTGCCTCCCTGTCACCAGGGAACATGGTTTTACTCTTTTGCCAGGGTGTGTGGATCAACCCTGCAGTCCCACAATCAAAACAACTCGGTTTCTTTGCGTATTGGTAGCTTGACG